AAGATTTCTATCGGTTGACAGACATAAATCAGATACTTGAATCGATGGTGAACTGTTTGAATTTTCAAGTTCGAAATGGTGTTTCCGATTCGAATCAATCGATATTCCAGGCGAAGGATTGGGAGAAATAGAGTGAGAGAGAGAGAGAGTGAGAGCAAGTTCATCCAATAGGAAAATCAAAGTAAATGAACGAGAAGAATTTAAATGCCGTGCAAATCCGAAACGACATTGTTAACCTCGAAAAGCCCTTTTACAGCCGAATTGAGATCATTACGGCCAGAGAGTGAGAGTGAAAATGTCGACGAGGAGAATTTTGTGGAATATCGCAACCAGGCACTACAAAGTAAACGCTCAATTCGATTCGTTTCGATTTGATTCGAGCGAAAGAAGAAAAAAAACACACCATCTAATCATTCCGACACGCATCTAACCAGTTGGCAATATATTTTCTACGTCGATACGATTGTTTGAGACCGTTCGGTGTGAATCGTTGAACAGGAGAATGAAAGCAAGAGAGAAATGAAAGCAACGAACGAGGGTCGCCTTTATGTGTGTGTGTGCATGGCGAAATGTTTTGTTGCCCAAGACGCATCCAAATAGATGTTACCAAATTCTAGAGATGAGATCCTTCCATCCATCCATTCATTTATTATTATGTTTCCTTTCCGATTTTTTTCCTCTCCTTCTCTCGCTCTTCGTTCGTATTTCACTCAGCCTGAGTGCCGATTTCTTAATACGAATTGCGCTCACTCAATTTCGAGGGGAGTTTTCAATACATCGTATACATTATCGTACTAAATAATGTCTTAACACCAGAAAACGCATGTCGAATGCTAATCGCAAAAACGACAACATAAAAACGCCGTATGTATTTAGCAATCAAATGGAAAATTTATAACAAGGCTTGTAACAAATATTGCATACTTTCCGTTTTTCATCGCTTTCGATCGCTTTATATGTTGCTTTATTTATATCGAGGGGTTACACGGTCGCATTGTCTATTACGGAAAATGACAATGATAAAAACAAAACCAACAACAATAGCAACAGCATTAGCAGCAATGAACAGGACGAGTGTGAGACAGTGTCGACATACCGCTCGTTGGGTCGGTCGCTCGCGCGATAGAGCTACATCGTTCACCAACACCACCACCACCATCACCATCATCACCAATCTTAATTTATATGCAGTTCTATTCGGCAGATAAATAGATGGGAATGCGAACAGCATACAGGACACAATGCCGAAGTCAACATAGCCGTAGATTAGACATGTGATAAAATATGCAAATGGAATTTATGAAAAAAGAAAACAAAGCAATTTGGTTGTGTTTGTCTTTTAAATTAGCTCCTTCGTGTTGGGGTTGTGTCGTCGTCGCCGTTGTTGTTGTTGTTGTTGTTGTTGTCGTTGTTGTTGGGGACAACCGCAAAATTCGAAACAGCCCGAAAAAAAAAGTAAACGTTAACGGTATTATTGCTAGTTAGGGTCGAATACGTGACGATTTATCGAGTGCAAGCCAAGATTGTCTATACGCATTGGAAAAAAGATTGGAAATTTTAATGTTTAGCTCGGCATATTTCTTTTTTTTCACTCGATTCCTTTTGCCCTATCAAATCATGGCTTAAATTTGTCGTGAAATTTGGTTTCTCCTTCTGTTTCGTCGTTGTCGTTCGCTGTCTCTTTCAACGGATGATTTCTGATCATTTTCAAAGGCTTATTGCACTCCAACCATCACGGTCAATTATCTTGATTTATTTTATTGGCATTGTTTGGAGTGACGGTGGTTACAGTTTAATATGATTTAGCCCGATGTCAAAATAGACATCCGTTTAATGCAATCAACTGTCGACTCTCGTTTACTAATAAAAACATCGTAAGATCGACCAAAATAGATAATTCGACACAGACAATAAAGTCACGTGGCTGCAATTTTTGACTTTTCAATCGAAGTTCAGCAGGAAGACGAAGCAGTTCGGGTTCGGGTGGTTGCGTTTTTTCTCTCTCTCTCTCCTCCTCCTTCTTTATGTGTGTGTGTTTATCGTAGTATGACGTGAAAAAATGTATGTTTGAATGAAAAGCTGGGGTGTAATACCGTTTGAGTCGTCGCTCCCGTAATTAGCTAATGAGTTCAATAACAATTGTAGATAGGCCGAATGGTGCGAGCGTGTGCGCTTTGTTGTTATCATAACATGATTCAGGGTGTTGAAATTAGTCAAATTACGTAATTAATAGAAAGCGCTTTGGTCGCATCTTTTTCATCTTCTTTCTCTCTCTCTCTCTCTTTCTCTCTCTGCCGTTCCTGCTTTCAACTACAATTCATTCGAATCAAATATCAAATGGGATGATGTGTGTGTTTTTTGTGTTGTGCTGTGTTGTGCTGTTTTGTTCTGCCTTTTCTCTTCATTTACACAGAACGAGATATATCACAGACATAAAGAACCTGCTGCTACTGATTCCACTTGTTGTTTGCTCTGTTCTCTTCATTGGCAAAGCCAAATAAAACATTGAAACAATATTTACTTTTACTCTTATGTTTTCTCTTCACCGATCGTAACGTGCACAGCAAACAAGTCGTTGTGTATTTATTTATTATTTATGTTCGATTTAAATATATTCTGCTTGTCTGTCGATTGTGCGATGGCCCTTTCTTTCGCTACTTGAGTGTGGATGTTTTTGCGAACGTGCATTTTTCCATCGTACGAATGAATTTCTGTATGGCACTCATAATAATAATCGACAAACATTCAATAAATGCCATCTGATTTTATTTTCCAACAGGCGATCGAAAAAAATAACAACGCGTCATTGGTTCAGCGGAAAAAGAGAGCACAGCATTATTTTCGCTTTGTACAATCGACATCATCACTTCAAATTGTGCGTGTGTATGTGTGTGTGCGCGCGCGCGTTTTCCATCCAATTCTGTTTGTTTAGTATTTGCGCTTGTGAATGCGCTTCACTCATTATTATTATTATTCGCCAAACTCTTATCCTGTATAATACAAATTGTTTACATTTCGTTAGCTAAAGAGAAAAAAAAGTGAACAAAGTGAATTGTCTGTCCTTTCTCTTTTGGTGCGTTCGTTTGTTCATTCATTTCCTTTGCACTCGTTCATGTTATGCCCACGTCTCGGTACACTGGTCCCGGGTTTGCGACCATAGGCGCACATTTGTTACAACTGAGTGGAACATATAAATATTTGTTGTCTGATTTGACTTAGCATTTTGGTGTATGTGTGTGTGACTCTTCATTTTCACCGAATCGTTTTCCGGCATCTCCACTCATTAATTCCAATGATTTAATTCAATTTATATTGTTGCTATTTGCTTTTTCTGCAAATCCATTTCCACCATAAATAGTATATAGATCGAGTGTTGAACAGAATAGAAGTGGATCGTGTTCATTAATGTTCTTTCCGATGCAAATCGAAAAAAAACCGACCGGAATATAGATGCATCAGTTAGAAGTCTAGGAAAAATTGCCTGAAGAATATCAGTGTGTCAGACTAATCTATTTCTGGATTGTAAGCGAAACCATTCCATTTGCCGATATGCGATACAGATAGAAAACGAAAATGCCTTCAGGATATGCAGGATAAAAATAACCGAGCTAATATATATATTGATGTAAAACGACTACTCTTGTTTTCTTTTTCGCTCTCTTCTGTTCACTCATTTGGCCTGTAGCGAGCTGCAAATGATCGTTGCCACATGCAAAACATCGCAGCATCTAACGGAATTGCCATTAAAGATTTAAACGTTGTTAATAGAACATGGAAAACATACCGACCAACAACTAAATATTCCAGAGATATCCATCAGATTCGGTTGAAAAGCGATACTTCTGCGCGTTTGTGCCGCTACAACTACTTTGTTCCTTCGAAAAAGGGACGTTTTCCATTTAATTTTTGATAAGAAATTAAAATCGGTCTCTGATAAAACAACTGTTCAAATCCGATCTTTTCTTTGGCCAATGCAAACGGTGCGATTTTTTCGTGCTGCATTCGCCCGTTCCACGGTCCGATTGGATGACGCTTTGAACTCATTATTCTCACTCTCAATTCCAGTTGTCTTAATGAAAATGCTTCAAATTACTGTCATCCGTAACAATGTGGCAGTAATTTCATCAGCATCACCCCCGAATACGGCGGCGGCAGCAGCAGCAGCAACAGCAGCAGCAGTGACGTCGACAGAGTGGAGGGTGGTATTTTGAATGTGATGCACGCGTAAACCAAATAGTACATACCATGAATTTCGAACTAACCACATTACCATGTTTAATTAACTCGGTGAGCAGAAGGAGCGATTGATGTTATGGGATGCTTACAATTAGAAAGCCATCGCATAGGGAGCCCAAAATGAAGACAAACCAGAACCGAAAAAAAAAATTGAATTTTCACTCATGGAAACTTTATGAGAAACATTTGATGGGCTGGCGTGCAAACAATAGTCCATTCGATAAAAGAGAAAAAGCGCGCGCGCGCGTATTGCGGAAGCATTTTACGAGCGAGAGAGAGAGAGAGAAAGAGAGACAGCGCTAGGTCCTGATAAGCACGTTCAGACAGACACACTCCACGACATTATATAACAAGATTTATGTGATGATAATAGTGTTTTTTTTTCTACCATTGTGTCATCTCTATCTCCCCCATCGTCGTATGCAACGCAAAAAATGCATTAGAGCACATGGATGCTGCTAATAAAGGTCTCGGCCCCGCCGTAATCATAAATAATGAATTCATTTGCGTATCTGTCTTCATTTGTCTTGCCGCAGCCAATTCAACATGCAAATTTCGCCCATTTTCCAGCAAATGGCTCATGCCGGACATTAGTATCGTTGTGTGTGGAAGTAATGGAATGGGCGACCGACCAAACAATAGTGTGCATGCAAACTTCGCAGATACAAAAGCAGTTTCAACAACAGGAATAAAAACAACATAAGACGAATAATAAAACACAATCATATTTCTTTTTTTGGATAACAATCAAATTTTGTTCATTGTTTTTTTTTCTCTTGTCAGTGTCTTTTAATCAATAAATAAGTAAACTCTAATTCACTTGTCATTATCTTGCTTTCAAATTATAATAATTATGCGTATTTCTTTTTTTGTTGTTGTAAGAGTATGCAGTTAAGATGTTATAATCTTCACTGTTTAAATTGATTGAATAATTGCATGCGTATGGAAATCAAACTAATCAAATCACAATGTTACATTTTCGATTGTGATTGATAATTCAAAAAATGAAAAGAGGAAAAGAAAGCCACATCAATGCTTATGCGTGACACTATTGATTATTTCGATTTTCAAAGCATAGGCACACAATTGGCCAAACGATTCAACGGCGATTTTGGTTTTTGAAATTTGAAAGAAATGTGTGTATGTATGGTACTGAATTTTATTTTCGATTGAATGGAATAACATAAAATTTGGGCCAATATGTTTACAGCTTTTCGGTATGGATACCGTTTTTTTTTCTTTTCACAAATCGATTTTCGAAATCAAACTGTTTTTTTTTCATAATTATTTTGATAAATTTCAGTTTCAATTTTTTTTTTTGGTATAGGTTTTTTTTGTTTCAAATCATTTTTTTTTTGTTCTTAAACACTAATTCTTTGTAGTTTATTTTTTTTATGCTGATTATGATGTCTTATCAATAATATACATAATCTTCGTACAATGAGAGTTTTGTTTTCTGCAATAACTTGGTTTTCATTTATATGCATTTAAAATTAAAGATGCTAGTTGTCTGTATTTTGTTATTGTTGCTTGTTTTTTTTATTATTTCGGTTTGTAATATGCTTTAGTAATTTTGTGCAATTTTCAAGTAAGACGAACAGGAATAGAGAATGAACTCAATACATAATATAGTATCGAAACAATGTATTTTTTGTTGTTGTCGTTTAATAGATAGGGAAAAGGAGGAATAAATAGATTACGTGTGTATTTCGGGTAAATTGGTGGCTATTTTACAGATTTTTTTTTGTCGGGAGAGTTTTTTGGTTGTTTTTTTTTATTTCTTCTTTCATTTCTTGAATAATAAAGGCAAAATGCAAACACACACTAATTCAATGACTACGAGTGAAGAAAGTTTTTTTTTGGGGAGTTGATTAAAGAATAGAACAGAAATACATAATATGAAATGCCTAGAATTAATAACTATTATCATATTGTTTTGAATATACCTATAATTTGTTTTGTCGGTAAATCTTTTTTTTTCATATAATATAATATTCATTTGACTATTTGTTGTTGTTGTTGCTTTTTCTCATTTGGTTTTTTTTTTCACTTATATTCTTCTTCTATCATATTCGATTTCTATATAATGTTCCGTTTCGGTTTCGGTTTCGTTTTAGAGAAGCAAAAAAAAATGGAAAACAAATACCGCTAAACGTTGACGCTTCTCACACACACGTAGTACGTGTTTCGTTTAGCAAATTTGTTATGTGGTCAAAAGAAAAATGGTTTTGACTTCATTTCTTATCTTTTGTTTTTGTTCTTGTGATTTCCTCCTCGAAATCGAGAACAAAAACCATTAGATTTATAAATGAAAATTGAATTATTTTCTATAATGTTTCATTATGTTTAATATTACACATTGCCGGCACCAATACATCTTAGCACGCCTTCTGCCTTGACACATACTCCGCGTTCAGTTGCAGTTGTCGCTTTTAGACTTTTATTTTGTTAGTTTAGCTACACGTAAATTTACCTTATTTATTATGCCTTATCTATTCAATCATCAAGCGCGATTTCCATTATACGCAACATACTTCCGATATTTGTTCGTTTGGTTGGTTAGTTTTTGTTGTCCTTGCGTTCTTTCAATCTCTATGCTTTTGGATATAACTAAGTTTATTCTCTTTGGTTTTCATTAACTGGTTCATTTCAATATATGTACAACTTATGATTTAGATTTGGTTTGTTTTTTCATCTGTTCTCTTTTTGTTGGAACCAAACAATTGAAACGGATTTGAATACGAAATCGAAGAAATGAAGAGGGAGATAAGGGGAGTTGATTGTGTTTTATCAGTAAGAGAAATGATTTCTAAGGATGGTACGATATCGAAACAGAGGTCCCAAGAATAACCGAAGAGAATAAATCTGGTGTCTGAGACAGTGACTTTTTTTTTCTTTCTTGCTTCGTTAAAACGTATATGCATAAGAGGTTAATAATAATGATAATAATACATTCGATTTGCAGTTGTTACAATTTAAGTTCTCACTTTGATTTTTTTTTTTGGTTTGCTAAATGTTCGGTTTTGCATAAGCTATGATTCCTCTATGTGGATGAGATTATGCTCCATTTTTTGCCATTTCGGAGTTGTGCTTTGCTACACGGTGTGGTAAATTCTTAAACTAAACTCTTTCCCTCACTCGGTTTTTATGCATGCTGCTCTCTAGCGAATACTGCTTTGCTTGATGTTTGTTCGTTCAATTTTGTCTATTTATGTGTTCACTCTATTTCCGCTATTTATCCTACAATTTGCTACAAGCTTGGTATTTTATTTTTTGACTATCTCTGTGTGTCCTCATTTCGGAATTCGTGTTGGAGTGTATATTTTTGCTCGTTATATATCGACCAGGGAAAAGTTTCTCTATCTAACGCCTCTGTTCCATTTCATCGTCTGTGTGTATGTATTTATGTTTTTCTTTTATTTTTGCTTCTATTTTTTGTTTTGCTCTATATATTTTCTCTGCATTTTCTTGCTTTTTCTGTTTCGGTTCATCAATAGCGCACGTAGTTTTCATATTATTTATAGCTGTATTGCATTAGTGTATATATGTAAATGTTAAATTTGTATGTAACCGTTATATGATATTCTTTTTCGGGGTCTGTATGCTTGAAATCAATATATAACACAAATGGGTAGAGAATGGGAAATGCGAAAAGTTTTGACAAGTTTTTCGAACTCATAACTATTTTTAACCGAAATCAAAAATTATTTCTCGATAGAAGAGAGAGCAAAAGAGAAGAAAAAATTAATATACACGGATTTAGATCAGATTTAGTATAAATTCAATTGTAAGATAGAAGGCAAAGAAGAAAAAAATATTCAGTAAAAACAAAACGACCGAATGAACGAAGGATAAGAGGGATAAGAACAGTTTCAATTAGATGATGAATGCATGCGATAAAATTTATATATGGCTAATGTCCACGTTCTGCGATGTTTAGGTTATCTATTTACATCCTTATCTAACCTCACATATTTGCATGATAACTGTTATATTGCATATACACTAACTACACAAAATGCTGCATGAATTATGTAAATTACATTTAAATTTATTAAATCTACGGTGTTGTTGTTTCTCTTTTTTTATCTCTGCAATTTTTTTTTATTCTATCTCTCTCAATGGTAAACTAATCCACCTATCCATATGGTTTTCATGTGGTATTTTATCTGGTTTGTTTGTTGTTATGGGGACATGATCGAATTTCTTTTTTGATGTGTACATAATTTCTTTGTTGTTGTTTCATTTAAATCTAAAATTATTTATCGAACTCAGCCATGTAGATGAAATGTGACAAAAATTATGAAGAATAACGCTATGATTAAATAAGTACACCCAAGTTGTCCAAGCTAGAATCTCTGTGGCACATGGAATCGTCACGGGAGAAAATTCCAGTTCCGGCGATTCATATGTGCACACACACACACACACATACTCATCGAGTGAATGTGTAGTAGCTGACATTGAGCTTTTTTTTTGTTCTTTTTATGAAAATATTACGATACATACTTATGATCTGTTTGTCTAGACTCACTAGTCCTATATATGTACATTTACTGACTAACTTATTGCTTTTGTTGTTGTTGTTGCTGTTTGTGTGGGACAACAAATTGGTTTTTCTTTGAAATCAAAGCGAAAATTGGAAAAAAAATTGTTTTTTTTTCTGCATTGAATAAAATCGAAAATGCACGGATATACAAACATTTCAGACTCATCACTCAAAATCTCCATAGTTCGAGAATGAAAAGAAGAAAGAAAAATGGATCCAGTATTTGTGAACATCTGTCCGAGGGAGAAAAAAATGATTCAGCTAGGATTTTGAATTTGAATAATTGAATGCAGATCTTTTTATTTTTTTCATATGTTCCCCGATATACAACTATTCCCATTTGTTAAGCTCGTCGTGGGATTCGATGAATGCAATTCAGAATATGTAAAGATAAAGTGTATACACTTCGTCTTTTTTTTTCTCCATTAAAATGTCTCGTGAAAAAAAAAATCATCACCGAAAATTGTATATGCTATACATTATTGGTGGCCTCTTTATCTGATATGTTTTCGATTAATCATCAAGAATTTTTCGGTTCGTCAAAGAAAGCCTGGAATTTGAACCGTGTGCCGTTCGATGAGGTGTAGAATAGAATGGAAAATGAGTTTCGTTTTTCGATTATCATTTTTATCTGTACATGTACGGTGCACCGTAAAAATTGTGAATCAAATGAAATTGCGCACGGGGTGGGCGTGGGATAGACAGGTGAAAAATGGGAGAGTTTGATTCCTGAAAACATCAACCACACAACAAAAAAGAATACCTAATTGAATATTTCTATGGTAGAAGTTTTCACTTCTGCCTCTACTTTGAAATGCAACTTTCACTTACAGTTTGTTTTTAGTATGTACAACGTTGTCGAACATTTTTTCTTTATTTCTCCTATACTGCAACCCATTCATAGTGTGTTGTCCAATATTTTCTCTTTTACTTCTTCTTTTACCTAAACTTAAATTATTGAATTGACTTCAGGGAATCGATTTGGTTTTTCGCTTTCATCTCTTTAATTTTCTTCTTCTTCTTCTCTGTGGCTTTTTACAGCAACTGCATTTGTGTGTGAGGTGCGTTTGATTGAAGAGTTATACACCACAAATTGGTTGAAAATAAATTTGAATTGTTTGTTCTTTTTTTGGTTTGCGAAAATGGAACCTAATAGTAATTGAATCTTTCTTATTGAATGTTAATCATCTCACAGTACACTTACTGCTGAGAGACGATTGCCGTAAAACGAAAACGGAAATCATATATAAATCGAAGCATGAAATCATCCAACTGACTGACTGATAAATCAAAAGAAATATACGGTCATTGCTCATTTTGAACTAATCATACTATAGTTTCGATTAAATTCCAACTATCGAATCGAATAAGTTTTTGGTTTGATTCTCTGGATTCTAAGACTGAATACTGCTACCGCTTCAGCGTGTGCTATTTTAAGATTAATTTCATTTGAATATATTTTGTTTTGCTATTCTAATCCTTAATATTTGTTTTTTGTTTTGTTTCATTTTACACTTATTATTATTTATAATATAAATAATATCACTTTGTAAATAGAAACAGGCGAGCCGTATGACTCTTGATATGTATCGTTACTTGGTTGTTTCTCAATATGTTCATAAGAGAGCCAAATGCGTTTGCCAAACCGAATGACGACTACCAGAGCGAAAAAAAAATGCAATCAATTTTCGCTATATACGTCTGGTTTTCTACTTTCGACGCAGGTCAAAACACATTTGACATAAGAAACAAAAAGAATAATCGAAACAAAAATGTTTTCTCTCAAAATTTCAAAATGAACCCAAAAGCATATAGTATATATATGTGTTAAACTTACGCTAAATATGGTCACAAAGTACAATTATGGATGTTCGTTGCATCCGACAGTTTTTTTTGTGTGTTTGATAACCTAAAGTTTGTTTTCCATTTGATATGTCTACGATATTAATGCAATATCAGTCCATAATTGTTAGACACCTTTATAACCCGACTTCTTATTTCCTAAGCTCTATTTGATTCGATTCTGTGAAAGAAGTGCCCGTCAGTAACGACCGTATGCATGAATTATATATGTCACATTCACGGCGACACACACACACACGTATTCACTTGCAGTGATCGATCGCTTTGACCGACATTTCCTCCAATAATGACCCTAATAGAATGTTGTCCTTCTTAGCTTCCAATTATACATAAATCAATTTGTAGTTTATCTAAATTTTAAAATATGATATTTGCTTTTAATTGATATAATTTTGTGTGTGTGTGTTGTTCATTCTTCATAAAAGTACATTTTGTTTTTGAACAGTTAGTGGATAAATTTTTGGTTGTATATTTTCTTGGTTTTTTTTCCATCATCATGTAATTTAATTTAATTAAATTCATCTAATATATTCATATATTTAACATTTACTATAGGTTTTCTTTATCATTTTTTCGTGTCTCCAGGGAATTGGTTCGGGATACATGGATTGAGAGAGAGTCAAGTGAATTGTTCGTGAGGTAATAGCGCATGACCATGAAGCCTGAGTCGTCTTTGTTTGTCGAACAACAACAAAAACAAAACGAATCTCACAAGCAATGATTACATCTAGTGCGAATGCTACGAATGCGTATATCAGTGATATATACCATGTCACGCGCCATTTTCACCATCAAATCCACCGGAGCTCACAATCGATATATTCAGAAGCAGATCCTTATGTTGTTTTTTTGGTTTTTAGTTTTGTAATACATGTCCATAATATTTATAATAAATATTTATATACAACAACAATGATACACACCATTTTAATGGCTTTTATATGTACGCTAATATTCATTCCATTTTATTTTCATTAAATACTTCATAATTTTTCTTTGTTTCCACTTTCTATGTTGGTTTTTTTTAAATTTCTATTCATTTTGAGTGATTGATTTTCTGTGTGGTTTCGCAATGGGGTTTTGAATTCGTTAAACTGTTTTTGTTGATTTGCGACGATTCTATACGTGTGTGTTACTTTATTCTTTTTTTTTTTCTACTGAAAACGTTTTTGAGTTGTGTTGCAACAAGCAAACAAACTGTACTATTTCACACCAGTATCAAATTCATTGTAAGAGGAAATATTTCATATTTTCTATTTACGTTACAGAGAGACAAGGCATTTAAAAATCTTTACATTTGTCTAAGAAAACAAATTAAAATAAAACGAAAACTGAACCCCAAGTATTCAATTTGTTTTCATTTTCCTTTTTGGGGGGAGAGAGACTGAAAGGTAGTCGAGTGAGTAATTTGAGAGAGAGAATAAGTGTGCAATTCGATATTGGATCGTCATTGTCCATTGGTCAATTTTGAAGGTGACTTCACAGAGAATCTTCTTGGCGAGAATATGTCGATTGAATTGATTTCGTTCGTGGCGCACGATTTTGTGTTTGTGTCATACGATACGCGCGCATTCGGCGTAAATCGCAGACTGAAAATGAATAAAATCGAGTAAAAAGGGTTTATTTGTGCGTAGTTGAATGACGCGCGCGCATCCAAACAAAATCTTTCACCTTAATTATCCTCCATCGCACAATGGCAAACATTGAAAAGGAAATGGGAAAGGAAAACGTGTGACGTCGACCTGGCTAGCTAGTAGTAGTTCAGGTTATTTTCATTTGAAATGTGAAGACGGAGAGAGAGAGAGAGAGAGAGAGAGAGAGTGAGTTGTACCGGACGCAACCCTACGTGTGATACGAATCGAACAAGTGTCCAAGTGTGTTATGTCAAAGGGTTGTAATTTGAGCCAGTTTGTCTCCTCATCGTCGTTTTCGTTGTTGTTTCTCTTTCCTCTTCCCTTTTGTCTGTTTAACGGCAATTATATTGTAAACAATTACACAATTCGCGTTTGCTATATATATTCTGCGTCGTCAAACAAAAGCGCCACCAAATTATTTCAATCAACGAAATTGCATCGGGAGCATCGTATTTCAAAGGATAGCTGGTTGTGTGCGTGCATGCGTGCGTGCACAATTGGACAAGTTTTCGCTGGGAAATGTCAATGTCGAAACACGGTGGAACCGTTGACGAGGGTTGCAAGTCAATTGGGTAATGGAGACGCTCGCACATTATTCATTAGCAAATGAATATGATGAACTCTGTTAACCAGTACAAGTACTGTTGAGTCGACCAATTTTTTTTCGATTGTTGCTATTTGTATCTCAACCAAATGAAAATCAGTTTGAATGCATGCGAAAAGATGAATTTATCGAATCGAAAATATTGTTTGTTATTGTTGTTGTTGTTGTTGTTGTTGCTGTAGTTACTGTAACATAAATTTGTCAATGAAATTGGTTGAAATAAGTCTGAAAACTCGTTTTACATTCTTTGTGTGTTTTTGTTTGTTTCATTATTTCACCTTTTTTTTCTTGGTTAGTTTTGTTTTGAATTAAATCAACGCATACTTAATAATCAACAATGATAATTTTCTCAATTTGTGTTTAGTAATTGTTTTTAGTAAATCTTGTTCTAAATAAATACTCTACATTCCATGTCTAAATGGATTAGCGCTTCGATTGCTGTCGGGCTGTGGCTGCTGTTGTCGGAATGGATTGGCCACACCCGATTGGCCGGGCTGCTGCGGAAGCTGTCTCTGTTGCTGTGATGGAGGTGGCGGTCGTTGAGGAATCGATTGATCCTGGTAGCCACTAGCTTGTTGATACTGTGGCTGTTGCTGATAGTCCTGATTGTAACCGTCGTATCCATTTTGTACTTGATCGATATTCGTTTCAACCATATTCGGATCCTGTGAACTGTATTCCAAATGATTTTTGTAGTCGTCACCAACGGGTCGTTGATCTTGCATCGAATACGTTTGATATTCCTTCTTCGGTGGATCTGCCATTAGAATATTTGCTTCGCTTTCGAATGGCTTGAAATCGTATATGTGCTTGAGATACGTGAGCACTGGGGCATACAGCAAATTTGAGAAGGCAATGAAAAAGTTTAGGGCCGTAAAGCCTATTGCTTCGACAACACCACCGGCAATGATGGGACCAATGGCATATGCCATCGAATACGAAATGTCCGCAATGGCATAGATGCTACCGTATACGGACACGTAGCGCACATCGACCAAATAGCCGAGAGTGGGCAGCAGCGCGGTATCGATGAGAGCGATGCCAAAGCAAATGCCACAAATTGGAATCATGAGCATTTGATATGATGTTGAAAACGGTATTATAAAGCAGCACAATCCTTCAAGCGCTAGACCACCGGCCGCCATTAGCCATTGATGTTGTGGGTATTTTCTCGCCATTTTAACCGTCAATATGACACCGAATACGTGCGGGAAGAATGCGGGCAACCAAATCATGCCGATTTTCCAATTGTCTTGCGTAATGTTATCTTCCATCCACGATGAAATGGTCGGTTCTAAGAAGGCCAACGCAACGTTTGACATCATTAATGCTCCAGCGCATGTAAAAATGTATGGATCCATCATAAGCTTCCAGATGGGTATTGATGGTGCCTTTTGTTCGAAGTTTGCCATCCGTAATTGTTCTTTGATCGGTTTCATCACTAACAACAACATTGCACCGTCTAATGCGCACACCAGCGCCAATATGAGGAAAGGAACTGCTTTGCCACAAAATTGATACAATGCACCACCAAATGGCGGCGCCACTAAACAACCGAAACTGATAAAAGCTAATGCGATACCTAGAGCTCGTGATCGTTCATTCTCTTCGGTGAATCGATCGGCAATCATGGCCAAACCGGATGTGTCTGCGAAGGCTGAGCCGACACCTTGCAGCGAACGAGCAAAGAATAAGGTACCGTAGCTGCCACCGCATGCGAACATTGCCGTTGAAAAGAACATGATCACCAAGCCAATCATCATTGGGATGTCGTAGCCAATGCGATCGATCATCGCGCCGGAGAACGGATTCACCATCAGTTGAACGATTGCCTTGGATGCAAACAGGAAACCGGTCGCCGAATCGTGATGATTATGCACTTTGTTCGTACTATTTTCGGAGCCACCGTACTCATACTCATCGTCGTCCCATGAACCGACATACCGCAGATAATCGGGTATAATTGGTACAATCACCATATAAAGCATATTATCTAGGAGCAGCGCTATCGATACTATCACCAAAATCAGCTTTCGCTGCATGTGTGGCTCTTGGATTTTGGTCCATAGTATCTCCTTCACCTCTTTGTATTCAAGATTAATTATTGGTATTGTGAACGACATTTTTGCTAAATTGTTTTCTCTTCTGCTTTCAGTTTGGTTTTTGTTTAAATGTTGTCTTCGTCGTTTTCTCCTCCTTTTTCTTCTTCTCCTTTGAATTTGATGTAAATCACTAATCAATAAAGGTGTTATAAATCTATCAGTCCTTGATGTGTTGTTACTCCGTCGCTAATTCTTGATCGAAAGTTGTTGTGTGTGTGTATGTTTTGTTTTTGTTTTCGGTTTTTAATTTAAGGCATTCCAGCTGATCATTGTTTGTGAGAGTGAGAGTTGTCGTTCAGTCAAAGCATCGAATTATATCAGCAGCTGCACTAAGACTATGGAAACTCTGGCCAATGCTGTTGTCAACGATGATGAGATTTGAAAGTCCGCCCAGGCAACCTTTAAACACACAGAAACAATATTTCCGTTATTTTTCTTTTGTTTTGTTTTGTTTTGTTTGTTAGTTGTTAGATTTATTGTTATGAGAATAAGTTAAACTGTTGTTCTATGTACAGAAAAAAAAACTAAAACCGAACAAAAGAAAATGATTTTCACTCAGATACGAAAAAAAGCAAACCAAATCTCACTCAAACGAAATGAACAGAAAAAAAACAGCAAGTTGAAGAACAGAATGCAAAAATCAAAGCAAATCAAACCGAGAACAAAAATAGAACAAAAATGGAACAAACAAACGAAAAATCAAACCAATGAGGAAAAAGTCAACAATTGAAAAATGAATTTATGATTGAAATGTTCTTTCTGTTGTTTAAAGGATGCCAGAGTACATTCATTTCGCATAGCCTTATTTATATCGATCTCTATCAACTAATGTAATGCGTATGGTTGACACATATTGACCCAATCTATAAATATCCATTTGCTTTGAATATCGTGTCTCGCTCCTAAAAACACACATTTCAATCATAAAATTTATTTATTACATAATCAAAAGTTCTAATTTGTTTTTTTTTCGGTTCATCCATAGATGGATTTTTTATCCTCTATTTATGTTTTACAGAAAAATCGGATAAGAAAAATCAAAATTAGTCTCAATCGTACGGGAAAAAAATCGAAAGCCAAAAAATCAAAGATAACAAATATGTATTATATGCGTCACTATCATTGGGGGGATTGACAAATTAGGTTCTGAGATAACGAAGCCTGACTACTGCTCTTAATACATTGATAATACAGGTTTAGCAGTAGTAGCAGTGTATTAGTTTACTTCAGATTTGAAAAGAGTGTGGTAAATGTTCTATGCTAGGTATCACGCTCAATGAAATACTTCGACAGTTGAGAAAAAATTGCAGCAAAGTATTGGGCTCGTATTTGAAAAGCAAATGCGAAAACTGATTTCTTGACACAGCAGAAAAAAAGAAGAAAGTCAATCAATCGAGGGAAGCACATCGAATGCCATTCCAAGTAATCTATGTTTCAATAGTAGTGATTGGATTGCATTTTCAAGAGATGCTCAATGCGATTTCCGTATCAGTTTGCCTGTGTCTGTGTGTGTTTGCCTCTTGTTTCTTCACGAGCCGCATTCACAAATTTTATTCGTGTGCCATATCTCATTTTGAGCGGAGGACATCTCTTTTCATTTCTCATCCAGCGCATTTCTTGCCGTATATCTTTTCTGTTTGCCGTCTTTTATTTGTAGAATAACACTTTTAGTGATTCCCATTGACAATGAATGCGAAGAACGGCACGACATAAAAGAAAGGAAACGAAAAAGAAATTTAGGGTGTTGGGTGGCATGTACGGAGTTCTTTTTTTTTCTCTTCTTTTTTTCATTCTTTCTTTTCTATTTTTGTTGTGTATGCGTGAAAGAGTTGGATCAGTATCAATTGGATGCTTAAATTGTATGCCATCGCATTATGCTTAATCGACAATGGTTTGGTCACGGATTACCAGACAATTTGTTCAAACCTCTATCGATCCGTCTATCTATCCATTCAGCTATCTACAATGGGCCTTTTTCTATTTTAGTGCGTCCCCAACGATCTAATCACATACAATGAAACAAAAATGCTTGTTGAGTTTTATGTTCTTTTGCGTTATTTTTTTTTTTATTTAACGGTTGAATGAGACTCATAAAATATTGAATCAGACGGTTAAACCGATAATTTCTTCTAATTCGATTTAAGTGAAATTGAAAAATGTCAACTTCTTGTATATCGTATTTCTTCTTTTCCGAAAGGTTTGATTTAATTGAAAGGAATCGATTGAAAAAAGCGAGAAATGCGACCAAAAACTTCTAAAGTAATTCCGGAAAATTGGTTAGAACTTCAATTCGACGACCGTCATTGAGAGGGTGTTCATGTTGAATTCCATTTGGAATACAGAGGCAAACAGGAAAAAAACAACAACAACGAGATGGTGAGTGCGACTCATTTATGGACATGGTTTATTTAGAGGTTTTATTCAAGTTCAACTTTGTTTTCTTTTTGTTTCATTCACTTGATCTAAGCCATATTATCAGCATGTATGTGTATGTGTCGGTGTGTTTTTGTTTCGAGTCGAGTGGTTCTTTTTTTTTCTTCTTCTCTCGTTCCGCTCTCCTTTTTGCACACGTACACACGCCACACAGGAACGACGGGCAAAATCGAGTGAGAGATATGCTATAATAGCGTACAAATGAGAATAAAAATCGCCGTGCTTTTTATGTGCGTGTTCATATTGAATGAATATTGTGGAAAATTCACCGCTGCGTACCGTCTGGCAGCTCATCAAATATTCACACGGAAAATGTTACTAAATAATTCATGCATGAACTGCCGACGAGGGTGAACTAAAAATGCGAGCGAGCGAGCGAGCAAACGAACCGAACCGAACGTAGAGAGGTTGAGCTCAATTTGGCTGTATGACGTATTCAAAATTCATGCACTCGAACACGTTCGTCTTCATTATACTCGCGTGTTTTCCATTTAGTATATTACATCTTTTTCCATTTCATGTGTGTTCGGTATACAAACTGAAAAGATTTTGAAATTATCGCATTTCGGGTAACAACAAAAAAATGCTCCATTTGAAGTAGACGATTTTGGATATATACGTGTTATTATGTGTGTATTCGTTTTTTTCACCTAGTTCTTGTTTCTCGGACCCCGGCTCAGGTTAGATGATCCAGTTTGAGTTACAGGTTAACTATAACAACATCGATATCGTGTTACATTTTGTATTTTCGACCCAAAACACTGGCGCAACTCCATACATATAAGAAAATGGTTCGATGGCCAGAGTGTGTGTGTGTATATATATACGTTGGCCTCTTTTATATTCGCACCTTGTTTATTCTTCGGCAGTCAAGTTGCTTTGCTTTACTTTATTGTTTAATGTTTTTAAAATAGAAAACCAAGGAAAACACGATACCCGAAAAATGCTTGTTCAAAAAGCCGAGATTAATCATTATATACACCCTAAAGCTGTGTACGTTATCACATTAAAAAGAACGGTATGGAACTAAGACCGAGAATGGCGCAGGTAGATTATTTTGTAAAAAAAAAACTCGATATTATGAATAAAAAATAACGGAAATCGTTTTTTTTCTTTCGCCACTGTGTCGAATAGTCACGTTTTTTTGAGCCTTCGATTCAATTCACTGTTCATTTTGTCCGGAATGTATACGTGATTTTCACAACGTATTGATCCATTTTTAATTTGTTATTCCCAATGGAGGCTAATGAGAAAAAAAATCGCTTCTAGTTAAATGTATTCAATAGTTTGAATTTTTTTCCTTTCCACACTCATCGAATATTGATAGCTCCAATAGCTTGAAATGCAAGCCTTGCATCTCTATTAATTAATTCATATACTCGATTCCGAGAGCATTATATCTCCATTTGTTTTTAGTATTGGAAACAACGTGTCAGTCGTTCTGGTGGAAAACTTTGACATTTCTCTAATTTATTAAATTGTTGCACTTCAAACGGTCGCCACGTCAGTGGTCAACGCTATAATTTTTTAATCCAATATTTCAAAATGAATAGGATCGGACTTTTGTCACATAATTATCGTGTGTTCGACTCGACGGTGGGTGTCATTAAAACCGAACAGAATGGAACAAATTACAGTGACCGATTCTTATAACCTTTATGTGTGTGTGCAATTTTTCATTGAAATACTCCCCCACACACTGTTCTCGCATTCATACTCACACGCACTTTTTTTTTGCCTCACCATGGAACAAGGTATGAAATGTGCATGAACATTGGGGGAGCCATTGATTGCTTCGCATTATATATTGTGTTGCACCCAATGAATGCTGGTGCGGAGACTGTGTAAGCAACGAGAAATTAGATAGCATCATCATCGTACATGAGATAGATCGAAAGAGAAAGAGAGAGAGAGGGAGAGACTGGGATCATCTAGCTACGGTAAAGCGTTATACACATTTAACGTTTCGGATAAAACTTGATGGATGACTGAATAAGCCATAATCATTACATGTGTTGTATTATACGTATGTGCGACTAAACATACGATAATATTTCGTCGTGTGTGAGCTAATTTTTCTCTTATTTCGCCTGAAATTTATGGAATGTGTGCATGTGTGCGCTCTTACTTCCTTCGAGCTATACCTATTAATTTTTAATAGAGTTACGTTACGTACAGTGATAGCATGACTAAGGCAGCCTGTATGTACCTATATACCTAAACCGAAAACATAGAATTTTTCTATCGATCGAGTTTCGTTCGGTGTGCGCAGACGGCGTGAGCGACAAAATTTGGTAATGCAATTTACATGTGATATACGTTTGGATCCACTTATGGATTGGTTATGTGGCGATGCGATTTCGAATCGACACAATCCAAAACGAGAATAAATGGAAAATTATCTAAGGACAGAAAGAAAAAAAAACACTCGCAACAATTTCATTTCTAAAAAAAAGAGAATAACATGTTGTATTCGGTTTGACCCTTCGATTCACTTGCGATCGATGCTCAAATGAGAATTGTTACGACCAACGGACCAAATTGAGTTCGACGTCGATTCAATTTTCCGTGAAGAAAAACTTCAATAGTTTGAGCTTAGTGGAAAATGGCAACATGAAGGAAAAAAGACAATCAAATACACACACTCACACACACACACCCACACACCCACACTATGTGTAAAAAAGACTAAAGACAATCCAATCTAACTTAAACAAAAGCTGCACTCTAATAATGTGCATCCGCCTATTATCAATTTCTTTCGCTTTGAAACGAAGCGAAACAAAGAAAAGTGGAGCAAAGAAGGAACAGGGAAAAAAAAACTAGGATGAGAACCACTATGAACAACGACGACAGCACCAACCAGGAGAAAGAGAGCAAAAAACTTCAAAGGAGGACATGAAAAGCAATTGATTGAAATAAAGGTTAGTCGTTATTTCGTTCAAGGCATTAAACTGTAATA